ACACTTTTCCAGTATACAGTACACTCAGCACAAAACATGCTACAGCGCTCATTTAATGAATAGGGCCGTTTGTTAGAATTGCTTAATTGCAGCGCAGCAGACACAGTAATGAAGAATATAATTGTGTCTTTTGGTTGTCTTTTTGCAAGAAGTGTGATTTCAGTTCATGCGCTTTGCTGTTAGTATTTTTATGGCTCAATGTATGAAATGTATGAAATGACTAAAGGGTGTTAAATGTATTGACTGTATATAGTAGATATAGCTAACACTGTCTCTCTGTGAGATTAGCTGTCTTCTATATTTAGTAATAACCAACAAAATGAACATGCAGTCATGACATGTAGGACAAAGTAATACAGTAGAGCTCTAAAGGCCAGAAGGAGATCAAGTGTAGGACAAGGGTGCCAAAATTTCTCCATAATTGAGTCACTGACACATAAATAAAGTCACTCAGAGTGGAAACTTACCCACTCAGATTTCTTTGCAGTGGTGGTGATAAGAGCCAGGCATCATGATATCAACAACATAAATATAGCCGTTTTATTTACTATCCAAAAGCACCAGTGAACCTACACGTCTTCTGAGTTTTTAAATAAAGGTATTTATTATAAATAGTAAGATGTTGATGATAAAATAGTGGTAAATCCCAAAAATATTACTTTTCTGTAGGTACTATTTTGCAAGACAACACGCTGCATGCACCTCTCCACCAAGAATGGATTTTAAAACGACATTTTAGACCAAATTATGTCTCAAATTATGTATATGATGGTGCATTTGTGACCATTTCCTCCATTAACTTTCTGTGAGGGAGCTTCTAGTGGCACTACCTCTTCAGACATCTGGTTCTTATCTCTACCACCTTGAACAGTTTTGATGCTGTTTCGGAGCATTTCACGTCAGACTGCTCTGAATGACTTTGTTTACATCTTAATAATTTAATTATGCTTTAATTATGATTTAATTTTAAATAAACCATGGAACTGACCGTTGTTTAAATTAATTTGCTCATTGTAAAACCATTTGAATTGGGTGGACTTAAGGTGGGACACTGCAAACTGTCCAGTATGGTCTGCTGGTACTGAATTTAAACTGCCTGGTTAGATCACAATGTTAGGATGTCAATTTCTTACAGTGTTTAGCTTAATGTGTTATATAATCGCCTTACGCTGCTGCAAATCTAATGGAAAACCTCTGATTGTGAGGGCAGAATTAAACCTGACATTTCTAACTGTTTGTGGAATAGATTAATTATGGAGATGTAGTTGCGTTACAGTCGAGGAAAAAGCTGTAAAAGTCAATGATATGTGACTTGCATTTCAAACTGCACAAATATAGCCTGAGATAATGTGTCCTACAACAACAGTGACCATTTATACTGCCTGGTTTCCTCAAAAGCTGGCACACAGAAATGTCCCAAGTCATTGAGTACTGTTTTTAGGCCTCATTAATGACCTCACTAAAACATGAACCAGTCAGTTTATAATTCAAAAAAAGTAAATGAAACACTTTAGGGGAAAAATATAAGGCTAATTTTATTCTCAAACACGATTGAGACAAATTATGACCCAAAAAAAAAAAAGCCACAAATCATCCAGGAACAGCAAAATGGACCACCCCAATCTGATATTCAGGCTGGTTGTATATGGGCCTGCTTTCCAGAGTTGACTAAGGGTACATTATTTAGGCATTAAGGTGGTGTGATAAGGGAATTAGGCCGGTCATTAATCGCTCGCACGTCAAACGCAGCGGAGCGGCTCAGCGAGGTGATTTAGCCATCCAGAGCCATGCTAGCCTTGCTAATCCACCTCTCACACGTTTTAATTGGAAGGCGCTTCACTGAGAGAGGAAAATTTCTGAATGGATTTCAGCCTATTTTCCCTTAAAAACAGCCATTCTGGAGGGTTTGATGCACTTGCATGTGTGTCGTTTTCACCAAAACGTGGGACAAAATAAGAAAAATTAAAATAAATTTTTATTACAGTGCAAAAAATTTGCAGCTTTTAAGAAGTTGTAGTTAGTTTTGGTCTTGATGATGAATGGATAGCACATTCTTTGAGAAGAGCGGCTGCTTTAAGTTCAGATTGACTGTTGTCTAAATGACGCCACATTTTTGCTCAGCGCTCCAGGACGGTCCAGCTCTCTTCACAAATTAAAACAAGTGGAAAGAATTACTTTTAGAAGCACCGTGCTTGTTGTCCATCGCTGGAGGTCCCTAGAAGATCAGCAAATCCCAAAGCAAGACATGGGGGAAAGGCACCAAGCCCCGGTTGCTTTAACCCACCTAGTGGTGTTAGACTGCAGCTGCAGAGCAGAAGAGAGCACATTCCTCTCAGACCTTTCAAAGGTCATGTCATTAATCCCTCTAAATAAACCTAGCACTGAATAAAGGCGGCTATGTTTTTCTTTTTTTTTCTATTTTTGCTGTAAACGCTGCACAATGCCTTAAAAAGGGGGCTAGAATAAAGGCAGCACTGCGCTGAACATTCATTGAATGTGATTCTTACAGAAATACGGGATAGGCTGCCTAGAACAAAGAGCGCGTGAGTGTTTTGTGTCATGTATATTATTTTTCTGCCCGCTTTGTTAGTATTATTTATTTAATTATTTATTTTTTCCCCCCGCCCGTTCCGCGCTCTCCCTCGGCGCCCGCGTCTGATGTGAAAGGATTTGGCAGTAAGTCGCGGATTGAGGGGAGGGGTGGCGGCAGTTCTGGGGTGAGGTGGGGTGGGGGGGTTAGGAATTTAAAAAAAAAAAAAAGGGGAAAAAAAGGAAAAATCCTGAAAAGTGGATCAAAAAAAAAGTAAATGAAAAATAATGTCACATTACGGCAAATATGAGAGGCTAATTTGCGGCGACTTTTTTTTTCCCCCCCCTCGCTAATTTCGCTCTCGCCCGCCGAAAGAGAGGAGCCGACACCTGCTCGGCTCCGCAGCGATGACAGCGCCAGTGATCCATGAAATAAGCTGCCGCCGGCTTTGTTCCGATAAGAATGAACAAATCTGCACAATGTACTTGCTCTCCGAATCTCATTTTCATACTTGCATGCGGGCTAAAAAGAAATAAGCTGTTTGCAAGGCTTGATTAATCAGACATTTGAGGGCTTCTTTTTTTTTTCTTCTCTCTCTCTCTTTGTCTCTCTTTGATCTCCGCCGTCTCCTAGGTAACTTGGTTGACATTAATGTTGAGCCTCAGTAAAGACAATCAGGGATTGTCGACTGGACCGATTAAAATCTTTAATGCCTTAAACATAGGACCAGTTTGGCTGTGTGTGTTTGAAATAGGAGGGGGTCCACAGGAATTGCTGGGGGGGGGTGGGGTTTTAATTTTGGGTATTTTCGGGTGGGGGAGAAGGAGGGCGGGGGGGTGGGGGGTGTTGTTTTGTAAGGCCGGGTTTGATAGACCTTTCTGCATTTGAAATTCTCCCCACAGGAGAGGAGGCTAATGTAGGTAATCCGTGTGTCGAGGAAACACAGATAAATCTCGGGGTGTAAACCTCAAAAGAAGCCATTTAGTGTCCTCCACTTGCCTCCTTTTTTTCCCCCCTCCATCTCCCTATCCCTCCCTCCTTTCTGTCGCAGAACGCCGCCTTTTTACCCAACAACTTTATTTATTTATTTATTTATTTATTTACCTCTCTTTTTTTGGCAGACATGAAAGCCGGAGCCGTGCCGAGATTTGTCAACAATTTAATAAAGGTGTGATGCGGGATCGCAGCGGGCCAGACACGTTTAGCACCTAGCGCCTCTCAAAACCCACCCCTGTGCGACTTATCTCCGGCTGCATCTCCACTGAACACGAGCATGATCGCCCATTATAACTTCCCCTTTCTCTGCTCGTCCAACTAGAAAACATGATTTATGCCTCTTAAAACCTCGACAGAGAGAGAGGGAGCGAAAAAAAAATGGCGAGGAATTTAAAAAACTGTCATAGTGCGTTAGCTTCAGGTTATGCAGACGCTTTTTACAAATCTTCCAAGTGACTGTATAGATGAATGCCTCGAGGGCCCAGCTAGAGCCCCGCTCTCTCAGCCTGCTAAAGGCCTTATCGTAAATCCAAGCAAAGTACCATTAATCTTTTTGAAAGACCTTTATGGCTTTTAATGTATCCCAAATTAGAACATTTTACACCCTTGGTTCCTGAAATATGGTGATAAAAAGCCTTTAGAGTTTAATTTCTCCTGCCTGCTCGCTCTGACCTTCCTAATCCCGGCATGCATTAGGAGATATTTTAGTTTCAGTCTTTCTAATAAAGTTTATCCCACTTAATTATAATTGAAACATTTTTTTTTCCTCTCGTGCGTCCTCTCTCCAGGTTTTTTCAACTCTAGAAACGGTGGCACATTTCTTCATTACCTAATTTTTTTTTCCCTTTTTCCTCTCCGATTGTGTTCTTCAGTATTATAAGGAATTACCCCCCTCCCTGCCCTCCACCTCGCACCATAAAAAAAGAGAGAAATAAAGAAAGAGAGAAAAGGGTTTTGTGATTTATTCGAAGTGTTTATCAAAGTTCCTCATGGTTCAATAATAAGCCCATCTCAAGAGGGCACGATTCTCCTTTTGTTTCCAGACCCTGTTTTTTTTTTTCCCTCCCTCCTCTTGGGATTACTCTGTGTTACACGTTGTCTCTCCTGATATAATATAAATGTGGTGGCTTCTCACTCACTCCTTTTTAGCCCTTTCATTTGCACGCACCGCAATTTGCAGTAGTGGTCTACCATAGATGAAGTGATTAACTGCAGGAGATAATGTCATTAATTTTTCACATCCGTGGCAAATGGGTGAACAGAGCGTTTTGGCTGTGCTGCTATGTGTGGTATGAGTAATATTGTTTTATTTACAAATTGCGCAGCTGCCATATAGGATCCAGCATATTTGGGGGTGAAACAAAAGAGGACCGCAGGCACTTTTGGAGAAGCCACCCCGCCACTTTGGCGAGGTTTTGCCAAGCAGGCCGATTTTACAGCTAATGGGGCTCATCTTCTGTCTCCTTCTCAATAGCTGGCCGTGAAAATCGCGGAAGCCGCTGACTGCCGCGACTTCACCCGCACCAAGCAGGAAGAGGAGGCTTCCCGGGACGCTAGGAAAAGGAGGAAGCAAGTGGCTTGGGGGTCTGTTGTTTATTTCCATCCCTCTCTCATTTCCCTCTCTCTTCTCCCACTTAGGATTATCTCCTGCAGTTTCGTTAAACGGCATGAAACACAGGGAAATGAATTTGCCTGTTCTTGGAAGTTTGATGTATGTATGTAAACGTTATTAAAGTTTCAGAAGGTTCGACCAAGTCTGGGCAGTCCATATATGGAAATGAAGCTGCAAAAACAGCTGATTTTAATTAATTGTTTTTGCATTTACGCTAGTGATGGGCATTTCAGACAGATTTGATATTTGAATGAGTATGGGATTATTTGAAAAACGTTCAAATAAACATAATAATAATGATAATAAAAAAGGACCTATAAGGCTACAGGCTACCGCATGCTGGATGACAATGACGCCACTCAGCATCTTACAATCCATAGGAGGTATGTTGCTTGAAATTCACCCCGAGAAAGGTGTAAATCTTAGACAGACAAATGCTAAGCATCTCAGCTAACATTACAAGCATACTCACATCCTGACTAATCTCGCTGAATTGTTTGAGCTTAAAAACAGCAAGTTTGTGAAGTTAGTTAGCTGACTAAACATGATAAACAAAATGTAAAGTTTTTAAAAATCTTTTATTAAATCTGTTTGATTGGTTTTCTTTGGGCATTTTCCCAATTTTTTGCCCAATTTTTCTCCCTAATTTTAGTCATGTCCCATCCCACCCACATGTAAAACTTCCTCCGAGTCATGTGAAGCCAGCCACCTCATCTTTTCGAAGTGCTGCAGCTGAACATGCTTGAAGGAGAGCGCTCGAGATCTCCTGATAGGACCAATGCTTAGAGCCACTCGCGAGCCCCTAGAGCTTCTTGTTTGTTGTTGCTTCGGATGTGCTGTCTCCTAAATTCTCTGGCGGTGCAATGCTTCTCATTAGGTGTGCGGTAGCCTTTAGGCGGCTGCAGTAGTCTTTCTATGTTTCCTTCTTTAAACAGATAAGAAACTCTAACCAAAACATAAGATACAAGTCCTACACTGCCCTCTGGTGTAGAACAGAGTTCAGACATCTCATGACTTTAAAATATGAAAACGTAAAACATTAGAGAGAAGCTCATTTGCCTATCAGAAATCCTGATTTACTATTTGAATATTCAAAGGTTCTGACCCCTCCCTACTTTACATACATTTGCCTATTCAGGTTCATGCTGAAGTTATAAGGAGTGTTTCAGCCTCTTTACAGCACAGCTAATCAGAACAGAGGTCATTTACGTACATCAGTATTAAAGTCACCGTAGCAAAAAACAGCCTGGAAACAGGTCAGATGTAAAATGGTCATGTAGAAATGACTATTTTTGGTGGATAAACCCACGCAAACGTCAAAAGTGGACCTCAGGGGGAAATAAAATGTAAGATGTGGTCCTACATTTCACACTTTACATCCTCCTTTCTTCTCTGGAAATCCTCTCCTGGATCTGATCCTATATGCCGTAATGAGTGTCCAGATACAGACCTTTTGAAGTACCACTTCTCATCAAAGGCCCAAGTCTGTCGAGTAGTTTGCTGAGACCTGCTGCTCTCATCATACTTTTCTCTCCGTGTGAACAGGCTGCTCTGGTTTGTGACTGCATTATCGCTTAACCACGTTTTCCAACACGCAGTTGTAATTGTTTTGTTGCGTGACCTACATAAGCCTTGCTCCACATGTTTGTACTTCACGTTTCACGCAATGTTTTCTGTACATAACTTGGACGTTTTACATGCTGTATTCTTCTCATTTCCTTTTCAGGTTTGAAGCAAAGAAAAGGTGGGAAACAAAAAGCAACATGGGCTACATGTGACGTTTTTACTGAAAAGATTCCTGCTAATGACCATTCGCAGTGTAAAAAGTTTGCTTTTTACTGTTTTTTTTTTGTTACTTTTTCTTTTTTTATTCAAAATTGTCCATATTTGGTGAAAATATTAACAAACCACTGGCAGTGAAAACTGTGTTGACTGCTGGTTACTCAAATAAATACTTTAACCTTTCTGTTCCTTTGGATGTTCATTTTGAGTTCACTTCTACTGTTTTCTTGCTAATTAAATCTGGTCCACATTAGCATGTGCCTGCGTCGAGTTCCCAGAATTAACTGGGTTAATCAGCAGCCTCTCCTTTCTTCCATGGAGGTATGGAGCAGGGGAAGAGAAAGGAGAGATTAGAGGCCTAATGCAATGTACAGGATAATATGCAATAGGATTTGCCTAAGCAAAATGAAATTTGTTGGCTGTAAGGAGGTTTGAGCAGGCGTAAACGAGGACTTTAGCGCTGGGTGAGTGTGTAAGCATGTGTGTGTGTGTGTAATAGTGATTGTGTGTATAAAGCTAGCCTTTTACCCATGATGCAATGGATACCTAAGATTAAATAAAAAAAAAGGACAGCTGAATCAGAGACTTCGGGATGCTTGAGAGCGTTCATTCTCCATGATTTGCATAAATCTCAATTTTTAACTGAATGTAAAATTTTAAATCTCAAAAGCAAATCAGGTGTTTTGTTCTGCAGCTTGTTCTGCAGTCAGCCTCAGACATTAGCAATGGCTTTGGGCAAAAATATCTTGAAACGTAAACAAAATGATCCTGATATTTAAATTGCAAGGGCAAAAAAAATTCCTATTGGAATCCTGTTTCCGGTTTTCCCAGATCACACATGAAATCTGTTTTTTTTCTATGCAATATATTTAAAAAGTGGGTTATGAACTGAGGCAAAAGGGCTGGACATTTGATGACGAGGACCGGCATACCAAACAACACATACAGTTGTGTGCAAAAGTCTGAACACCCTGGTCAGATTACTTTTTGTTGAGTAAAAATAAGTTAACGTCCTCTACAGGGAACAAACTTCAGTGTGACATTTTTCTGTTTTTAATTTAATTTTAGTGCACAGTTTCCATTTATTTGCTGATTTTAACATATTGCCCAAAAAATAAGTAAACAATTAATAAGTAAATAAATAAAACAAAAACATTTGAAATGCACCATAACCTTTTTACAGACTACATTTTATATTTTATTTTTCAGTAAATTCAGCAAATTTGTTCAGCAAACTTATTTTCCCTCAGAAAATCAATAAAACATGCCAATAGCCTGGGGTGCCCAAACTTCTCAACTTTCACTGTTGCAAGCTTGACATTGTCACAATAGAAGAACCCTTTTTGGTGCTATATGGAACCCTTTTCGAAAAGGTTCTATGTAGAACCATCGAAATCACATTTTCCAGCAATTTAAAGAAAACTTTAATGATGCAAAGAGCCCTTTAATCATGCAAAAGGTTCTTTGAGTGTTCATGGTTCTATAAAGATAACTGCAGAAAATCAGATTTTGTCAGTAATCTGATCAGCACATTTACCTGCACTTGATTAATCAGATAATGGGGAAACTCCAGGTCTACATGAGTCAGGCTGTAATCAGATTTCTGCTTTGCAACCAGCCAATAAACTCACAGAAGAATATGTGATGTAAACGTAATGTAAAACTCAAACTTCATGCTGCGGCACTTTAAAAAAAACATTGCGCCACTTAACCTGAAATTATGAACATACATCATTTAGAAGACGGAGGATATTTATAACCTTCGTTTGGTCAAGAATGTAGTTGGTTTCACTGTTGTTTCAAAAATGTGCTGCTGCGTCTCACGGCCGCGCTGCTCGCTTATTTGCGGTACTGCAGTCTGTTCCGCACATTCACAGACTGAGAAATCCGAAAGAAATCAGAGTAAGAATTCACATGCGCTGAGAAATCGGACTATTGAGCTACAATCCAGCTCTCTTTATCGGATTTCTTAATCAGATTTCTAGATCGGAGTATGGTGTTTACATGACCATTTGTGGTCATGTTTTATGATTGAATTATTGAATGCATGTAAACGCACCCGTTGTGACCCCGGTTCCTATCACTGCCACTGTAAAGAAATCAGTCTAGTTTTTTTAGAGTGGAGCATTTCTCATCAAACCGCTCTTAATGACCTTGTTTAACACTGCATTATGCAGAAAACTAGAAAATCAAGTGCTTCAATTACACATTTAATTTTTAAACTTAGTATTTTTAAAGAAAAGAATTCAGATCGGTATCGGCCGAAACATAATATTTCAATATCGGTATCAGAAGAGAAAAAGTGGTATCGCACCACCTCTACTTAAAAACATGCTTGCATTTGTTTTGTGGTGTTTTTCGCAGATGTTGCCAAACACCATCTTCTGTCTCGGCGAGAGTGAGGTCATCACTCACAGCTCTTGAGTCAGAATGCAGACAGACGGAGCTGGAGCTTCTGATTTATGCTCCGCTGGCCCGAGGCTGAGCTATCTGCAAATAGCAATTTTTGAGCCTTAAACTACCCACCCTGACAACAGCCGTTTGACAACTGTGGCACAAACTAGCCGCTCTAGCCTGGAGGCGCATGCCTGTTTACTGGCAGTTCCAGAGACAGCTTGCTAAAGGGGTGTAAAAGAGAGAGCGAGCGAGAGAGCCAAGCTTTACCCAGTTGTCATCAAGACCATCTGCAACGCATCAGACGAGTGGTGCTTGTTGGCAGGACGGCGGGCGGACGTGTCCCGTTCGCTCTTGTGAAGCATCTTTGGGAGAGAGGGAATCTGGAGAAGTGCTGCTGATGGTTTGTTTTGATTAAAGCCTTGAATGTGGCTAATATGGATCTACGCCACCGCTTTAGAAAGGCTGTCAGTTAGTCTATGTAAATGAGGTAATTAAACTCACTTAGCATTCTTTAATAAGAGGGTTATTTGGCAGCGCTTAGCACTGTTTTAGACTTTACTTTGATGACACATCTCGAGTGCTGTCATAACATTGGATGCAAGTCACTGTTTGTTTTTTCATAGCTAATGTGTCACTTGTTAGTGGTAGGCAAACATCTCAGTGTGTGCTGGTTCCAACACCAAGGCTCCAACCTATTCAAGCACACTCAGTGTGTACGTCCCAGTGCCCCTTTCTGGACACAAGCAGGACTTTATTGACTGTGTTGAGGTCATCTTGAGCTGCCAGATGGATACGTTAAGTGGTAACAGGTACTGCGAAGTTAAAAGGGATGTACCAATTCAGTTGGAAGGATCAGTGTCGGTACTGATCAAGGGATATTTCAGTATATCGTTATTGGCCCAATCCATCATTAAGGCTATTTTACCCCATTGTGTAGGTGACATAAACATCATCCACAACTGACAACAGTGAGGCATGTTTTCAATAGGTGACCAGTGACACTGGACTATTATATAGTCAATGTGAATTGGAAATTATGACTCATTTTCCCTCTACTGAAGTGACACATGGTGTCAGGGAGGGTCTCTGAGCTAGCTGATGATAGGTGGAGGTAGTTGTGTTGGATTGCGAACCATGATATGATTGGTTAATATTGCTTTTGCCCACCCACTACTGCGCAATGACAGTCAAGAATCAGAAGACAGCAAAAGTTATTACATAATGAGAATTTTGTGCCTTCAATGATATGATTAATGAGCTTAATATGACCAGGCACTAGCGAGGTAATAAGGGTCAGTCTTTGTTTTCAGGTCATTTAAAGTGGAAAATGAGAACTACAGGCAAAAAAGAGGTGCTCGTTCAGTCTCTTGTCATCTCAAGGCTTGACTACTGCAACTCGCTACTGGCTGGTCTTTCTTTGTGGGCCATCAGGCCTCTGCAACTCATCCAGAATGCAGCAGCACGGCTCGTCTTCAATCTTCCTAAAGTCGCTTATGTCAGTCCACTACTGCGCTCCCTTCACTGGCTTCCTGTAGCTGCACACATCAGATTTAAAACCCTAATGCTTGTCTACAAAGCCAAAAACGGACCAGCCCCTCCCTGCCTAATGGCAATGGTCAAAACTTGAACTGTACCTCGAGGCCTTTGAGCTTCAAACATAGCTGGGCTTGACCTGCCATCCTTCAAGATGCTTGGAAGACAAGCATCAAAACTCTTCTCTGTCCTGGAGCCCAGGTGGTGGAACGAACTCCCACTGGCTGTCCGGACAGCAGAGTCTCTTGCGGTCTTCAGTGCAGACTAAAGACACATCTCATTTTACAGCACTTAAGTGAGCACTAATATAAGTACTTATTGAAATGTATTGTACTATGTCTAATTCTGTTCCTTTTTCTCTAGTTATTAACATCGGCTGAGCAATATCTGAGCTCAGGACTAGGTTTTACTCTAACCTATTAGTTCTAGCTAAGATACTTTCTCTGAGTTGACAACAAAGCACTGTTGTAAGTCTCTCTGGATAAGAGTGTCTGCTAAATGCTGTAAATGTAAAAAATAGCTACTTATATCTGTAGCGGTGTTTTGACTGTGGTAAAACTAACCACCTTTCATCAAAACACGGTTAAGGTGTGGGAATGCGAGCTCGATCCCTGGTGATGCCACAGCCCTCCATGGCTGGGATGTCCATCCAGTACTTCATTAGCATGATGCTAGCAAATGTGAATGTCTGTTAGTTGATGTAACAGAATTGGCAGTTAGTGTGTAGAGCTGTCCAATGATGTGTTAGGGGCAGGTTGAAAAGATGCAGTCGCTCTCTTCACATGACTTGGGGGACGCAAGCCTTCAGCCTCCCAGCTTGGTAGCATAGTGTGATAGGGAGAGACCTAGCTAGCGTGTTGAATAGGACGTGACTGAAATGGACAGAAAATTGCGTAAAAATGGTAAAACAAATGAGCCACACTAAACATGCAAGTGCTCAAGAGAATTTCGGTCCTCTGAGTTTGTTTGGTTCCATTATGGAGATTTTCAGAGTGTGTTGTAATTAGCAAAGCTTTTGTAACTGGTCTGTAAAAACATCAGCCTGTTCATTTGCCAGCAACCGGTGTAATTTAAGGCGAAAGGACAATCGGAAGATCAACCGCCCCGCCACACTACCATATTTTAAAAATCCAACAGCTTGGGCAGCAGCCTCCAAATATTTTGCCTTGTTGCCCAGCTGACATCCGATTTACTTTCTTGGTCTTATTATTCGATGCAGCTCAGACCACCCAGCAGTGGAATGAGTTATAAGGA